TCAGGAGACCTAAGAACTAGCTGGTTTTTTGTTTTGTTTTGTTTTGTTTTGTTTTTTCAAGACAGGGTTTCTCTGTAGCTTTGGAGCCTGTTCTGGAACTAGCTCTTGTAGACCAGGCTGGCCTCGAACTCACAGAGATCAGCCTGTCTCTGCCCCCCTAGTGCTGGGATTAAAGGGTGCACCACCATGCCCGGCAGAGCTAGCTGTTTAAGGAGTGCTCCGCCCCTGAGGAGAGCGGGGTTGGGAAGGTTATGACTAGGCAAGAGCATGAGAAGAACCACCCTGCAAGAATGCAGAGAAATGACAGTCTTAAGTGAGAAGGAAAGGGTCCCATCCACCGCCATGACAGAAATTGGCAAGGGGGTGATGTTAAAACAGAGTAAGTAGTTCCAGTAAAAAGTCAATGAACTTACCTCTGCGTGCAGCATTACCCTAATCTAGGTGAGGACAACAGGAGTCACCAAGTCTGGGCCGTGTCAGGGCTGAGTAGTTCAAAGACTAGAAGGGTCTCAGACACCAATGGTAAGGCTGGACAAACCCACACAGGGGCATTCTGATTTCCAGTGTCCAGTGATAGCAGACTGGGCATGGCCTCTGTGGCAGTTGAGGGTAAGGGTTGTATGGTGATCAGTAACTCTCCTGGTGGCATTTAGGCAGGCTCTTGGCAGAGTTGACGTGGGCTGAGCTCTGGCGGGATAGAGCTTCATGGCTGACTTCCCTTGTCCCCTTTGTGGGGGTCCCAGTGGCCTCAGGGCAGCTGTTAAGGCTTGAGCTTGGGAGCATAGCCTTCTGTTGCAGACTTGTCTGTCGGGAGGACTCAGCTGCCTCTTTTCCGGTTTTACCAACTGCTATGTGAGAGTTAGGGACCTTCCTCAGATTTTTTTGTTTATTTTTTTTTCTAATATCTGGGGCTGTCTGAGAAATAAGATGGATTGCCAGGATCGTGGCTCCCACTGGGGAGGCTGGGTCAAGTCAAGTATACTGAACTATGGTCTCTTGTAATCAACTTAGAAAAAATGAGCCGGGCAGTGGTGGCACACGCCTTTAATCCCAGCACTTGGGAGGCAGAGGCAGGCGGATCTCTGTGAGTTCCAGACCAGCCTGGTTTACAAGAGCTAGCTAGTTCCAGGACAGGCTCCAAATCTACAGAGAAGCCCTGTCTCAAAAAACCAAAAAAAAAGGGGGGGGGAAGGTCAGGGTTTTCATCATATAGCTGTATAATCTCTCAGAGTTTATCAAGATTAAAACTTTAATCCAAGATCATTTCCATCCCTTGAAAGAGAAAGGTGACCATGATGAGGTCTTGCCTCTGCCACCCGTTTTGACCTGGGACTGATAAGTCCCAGTATGGTCCTGTAGCTGGCACTGCCACATCCCCCACAGGGACCATACTATCCACCAGGTGGGTCTGGTCTGTATACTGTCTAGCTGCTACCAGAACTCGACCTCGGGAGTGAGTGTGGAGGCCTGGGTGCCACAGAGGTCACGCCAGGTCAAATCGTAGGCCTGGGACAGAAGGAGAAACTCCTTGTTATAAACAGGAGGATTAGCAGAGAAGGAGCCCAGCCACTTTTTCTATTTGTGAGTGGTCCTGATGAGAGAGGGGAGCAAGGACTGGAACAATTCCACTGGCTCCAGCTACCTCTCAGAGAGGGCAGAGTAGGGCAGGAGTTTGGGAAGAGACCAGGGAGGATTCACGGGGATTAGGCCAATGTGTAGAAGGAGACCAAGATGTGAGTTGAAGCATGGAAGGGGAGGGAAGACTGGTAGGAGGAAGGGGAGGACAGGAAGAGGGGTAAGAAGGAGGGAGTTGACCCTGGACCTTTGTCCCAGAGGTGGGTGAAGCGGGGAGGGGTGGATGGGGAGAGGAATGAGAGGAATGTGAAGGAGGTTGGCCAGAGAATGGAGCTTGTGGCCCCATAAGAGGTGGGTGGGTGGGTAGGCAGAGTTCAGGATAGTAGGGGAGGGGCCAGTGCCTCCAGCAGCATGGTCAGGGCTGAATTTTCAGGGTCCCAGATTCCAGATACGAGGGAATCTGGAGGCACTGTGACCCTAGGCAACAAGACCAGTACTGTGAGACGCTGGCTACTAAGGAAAGGGCAGGAGCGTAGTGCCCAGAAACTGCGGACATATGGGGGTTCTGGCCACTTGTCCCCACTCCAACAGAAATTTTCAAGGTCATGGAGGATGGAACAGTCCCATTGACTCCAAATTGTCCAAAATTGGACTCCAACAGCCCAAAATTGACATATTGAGGCCCAGCCTTAATGCAGAGAAATCAGGCATTCAGGACATATGGTGTCAGCCCCAATTTAAAGAAATTTTATAAAAGAATGTTTGGGGATCTGGTTTCCAATGGCAGGTGCCCATCTCACAAGTCTATGCTGGGGCCCAATGCAATGTGTCCACTGTGGTAGGCTTTAAGTGGGAGATTCCCTTGAACAGAATATCTGAAGAAGGGACTCCCAAGGGACAAAGATAGGTGTTTGTCCTGGTCATGGGTCATGGGCCTGGCACGGCCGCATCTTTGGCAGGACACCCTGAAAATTGGAAGAGGCCCAGGGTGTCTAAGGCAGTGACTTGGAAGGGACAATTTACACAGTCGAAAGCCAATCTTAGCCTGGCGGAGGGCAAGTGTGGGGGACAAGGGTGTTTTTCCACCATGTGACCCAGGCTGGTGGAACTCCAAATGAAAAGTTTCTGTACCCCAATAAGCCTCTCTGCCTATGCAGCAAACCAAATCAGACCAAACCACAATCCATTAGAAAATGGTCAGGTTTGCCAGGAAGTGGTGGCACACGCCTTTAATCCCAGCACTCAGGAGGCAGAGGCGGGAGGATCTCTGTGAGTTCCAGGACAGGCTCCAAAGCTGCAAAGAAACCCTGACTCAAAAAAAACAAACAAACAAACAGCTGGGCAGTGGTGGCACATGCCTTTAATCCCGGCACTTGGGAGGCAGAGTGGGGCGAATATCTGAGTTTGAGGCCAGCCTGGTCTACAGAGAATAAATTCCAGGACAGGCTCCAAAGCTACAGAAAAACCCTGTCTCGAAAAACAAACAAACAATAACAACAACAACAACAAAAAGCCCAAGTTTAATGGGTAAAATGCTCCCAGATAATTTTCCAGCCCTCCAGAGAGGAGACAGGAAAGAGAGACTGAAAAACACATGTCTGTTTTCTGGGGGACAATTTAAATACCACTGTGGGAGTGGTCTTGAGCATCTCTGGGGGAGGGGTCATCATTTGGCAGACTTTCTGAGATGCAGTAGGGTTTGAAGAGAGATGGGGAAGGGGGCTTGGAGTAGAAGTTCCACCAGAGCATTTGGTCTATGGATGCCAGGGGCTTGGGTGAAGTTTCCACCTGAACAACAACTGTCTGTGGCTCTAGTCCCAAAGGATCTGATGCCTTTTTCTGGCCTCCAAGGACACTGGACACACATAGTACACATACGTTCAGGCAAACATTCATACACATGAAACAAATGAATAAAATTGTCCCAGAAAACATTTTGATCTATGTTACCAGGATGTTGTTTTGACCAGGCCCTTCAATGGGCATCTCATAAACTCTATATTCCTAAATTTGGATTCCTTTGGCATTACAATTCATAGTTTTAAATGTTCACACAAAAAGAGACTGCACCTCTTTTATTTTTTTATTATGGATAATTGGCACAAAGTTCACTGAAGAGCATTTGCTTTTTATACAGATTTCCAAATAGAAAAATACATTAACACAAAAATATGGATATTTTATATCAAATTTTAACCATTTTCAAAGAGAATACAGGTTTTTGGGTTTTTTGTTTGTTTGTTTCCAACAGACCAAGGCAGTTCTTGTGTGGGTATCTATCACACACATTTAACCCTGTGCCAGGTTTGGAGCCAACAAGACTTGAATCTCACTGTGGATCTACTTCTTGAAAGCAGCATTATGCAAGCATTAACTTATTTTTATTTACAACAGAACATTTAGAAGGTGATAAACTCCACTGAAGTCTTAGAGTAACTTTGGAAGGCACTGCTGTGCATCGGCCTGCCCCTTGAAACACAGGACATAGTTTAGATAGAGTCAGCAGCAAAGGCCTTAATGACAACCTTGTTGTTTCAAAGAGTCCTTCATTTCAGCGACAGAAAAAGCTTAGCAGCCGTGGCTAATTTTGCTGGCGAGGGAATCAAGGACAATGACAATAAATGACGGGTGTTGAATTTTAAAAGCCTCTTAAGGGTTGGCGGGTACGATGACTCCACCTTTTGGAGGGAGGTGGTCCTTTTTTTCCCCTCTGAAACAGGGTTTCCCAGTGTAACCCTGGCTGTCCTAAAACTAGCTCTAGACCAGGCTGTCCTCAAACTCAGAGAGATCTGCCTGCCTCTGCCTCTAGAGCGCTGGGATTAAAGGCCTGTGCTGCCATTAACCAGGTGATGGCTCCACCTTTAATCCCAGCATTTGGGAAGCCGCGACTGGCAGATCTCTGTGAGTCTGAGGACAGCCTGGTCTAGAGCTAGTTTTAGGACAGCCAGGGCTACACAGTGAGACTCTGTCACTTGAAAACTACCACTCGAACATTTTCCTTTATATTTGTATTACTAATTACAACTATTACAAGTTCTGCCAAACAATTAGTATCCAAAAAAAAAAAAACCACCCACAGTTTTTACTTTTTAAAATTATAATTGATTTTTCCCCCCTTGGTGAAGTTCTTTGGGAATTTTGGTTTACTTTTTTAAAGCCACTTTAAATTTTTCTCTGAATGAAATACCTTAGGCCTGAAGAAGTAGAGTCTATGAAGAACGTTTTTTTTTTTTTTTTTTTTTTTTTTAAGACATGGTTTCTCTGTGACTTTGGAGCCTGTCCTGGAACTAGCTCTTGTAGACCAGGCTGGCCTTGAACTCACAGAGATCTGCCTGCCTCTGCCTCCCTTTGGGATTGAAGGCGTGTGCCACCACCACCACCCGGCTATGTAGAACATTTTAAACCACCCTTTTTGGGCTAGAAGATACTGAGGCAATAGAACACAACACAAGGTCTTGGCAAGATATACACAAATGTCCATATTCCCAGTGAAAGTATAGACAACAAAACACTTTTCTTAAACTAGCATACAAATGTGACTTTAAATACAGACACTGATCTCTCTCCAGATAGCAAATAAGCATGTGTTTTAATTAAAAAGAAATACCTTCAATTACACTAATGGGAGAGAAAACAAACTGGGAAATAGCAATGACACCCAGCCTGAAGGTAAAGTCTGATTAGGAGTCGACAAATGAAACTACAGTCTGAAGGTGCCAGACAAAAATATAAATATGAAGAGAAAAGCAAGAAATCGTTTCTTAGCATGCATACAGCAGAAGCACCAGCTATGCTCAGCCGTGGACTGAACCAACAGACCACAAATAAACACCTGAGTCTCCATGACCCTGAAGCCAAGAGCCAGGAAATCTGACTTCACTGACTTCCACTACTTCCCCCACCCCTGTTCTGCAAACCCTTCCCGCCACCACCGCACCTACCGTCAACCCAGCCTACAGATATGGCTGTAATTTGAACGTAAGCCTTCAAATTTGTGTCAAATTGTGTCAAAGACAATGCGCTGAAAGGCATTGGTCCAAGGTGTACATATTAGCATTCAAGTGTTCTAGAAGGTCAACTATGGTGTGGATTTTTAAATCTGGATTAGCCTTTCATTGCTCAGAGATCCCAATGTTTCTAACGAGACTCTAATGAGACTCCAGGTCTATCTGTGCTATGGCAGGTGGCGGTACCATCAGCATTCTACACCACAGATGCAACCTTTCATGGCTGCAAACTCTTGAATCCCTGAATGACCTGCCACCATGGGCCTAGGCTTTACAAGGCACTTTTGGCTCTGTGAAATAGTTCTCCCGATTCTTGGATACGTAAAGCTGCAACAAGTTACAAATGGATGCTGAGTGAATGTCTACTGGAGACGAGGAGAAGCAATTGGCATTCGATACAGTGTTATTCACCGTGGGCTGGATCTCTGCAGCACAGCTCACAGGCAGGAGCTCTGGGCCCCTGCAGTGCACACCTGGAGTCTGCTCAACAGCCACACAGCCCCTTCTCCTTCTCCGCACTTAGCTGATCTGCAGAAGTGTGGCCGTTGGATCGCACCACACCTTCTGGAATCCAGGACTTGTCCACACACCGTTCCATCCGCTTCATTATCAGGTCCAGGAGCATCTCAATTGCTTGGTTTATGTTCGTCCCATTGGCAGCACTAGTTTCAAAATAGGGGATTCTGGAAGGACAGAAAAAACTCGGTTGACAATGTGGAGGGGGGGACAGCTACCTTTGTCCATAATTTTCTTTAGCCATTCACAATTTAGAGAATAATTTTAGGATAAATATACATGATAACCGTATGACTTCAATAGGGACCAGAGAGGAGGCAACACTATCCCCATGATCATAATTCAATGTGGCAAAATACAAGGAAAATGAATCCCAGTCCAGTACGTGTCTCTCTCAAAGCAGTTCCTTCATATCTCATTCTTCAACATGGTATCCTTTACCAGAGCCTGCCTAAGACAAACTCCAGCGTAAAGGAACGAGATCATTGTAACTAGCTTAGGCCAATCAGTGCAGGGCCGGGTCTGCACTTGTCTCTCTCAAACAGTAAGTCATCCTGAGACAGAATGTATATGTAAAGAAAACTGGACTTCAATGAGGAGGGAAGGGGTAGGGTAAGAATGTTGTCTAAGAAACCGCTGATATCTGCCCCCAGAAAACAGACCCAGTGTTTTTCTAAGAGAAGGCAGAGGCCCAGCAAAATTCTTCAAAGATCTTGAAAGAACGGTGCTCAACTTCATTTGGAAAAGCAAAAAACCAAAGATAGCCAAAACAATCCTATGCAATAAAAGAATCCCTGCCTTCAAACTCTACTACAGAGCTACAGTACTGAAAACAGCCTGGTATTGGCATAAGAACAGACAGGAGGACCAATGAAACCCAATAGAAGACCCGGATATCAATCCACACATCTTCGAACACCCGATTTTTGACAAGGAAGCAAAAAATATCAAATGGAAAAAAGAAAGAATATTTAACAAGTGATGCTGGCATAACTGGATATCAACATGTAGAAGAATGAAAATAGACCCATATCTATCATCATGCACAAAACTCAACTCCAAATGGATCAAAGGCCTCAACATAAAGCCAGCCACACTGAACCTTATAGAAGAGAAAGTTGGAAGTACATTTGAACACATTGGGAACCACTTCCTAAATATAACCCCAGCAGCACAGATACTGAGAGAAACAATTAATAAATAGGACCTCCTGAAACTGAAAAGCTTCTATAAAGCAAAGGACACAGTCAACAAGACAAAACAACAGCCCACAGAATGGGAAAAGATCTTCACTAACCCCACATCAGACAGAGGTCTGATCTCCAAAATATACAAAGAACTCAAGAAATTGGACACCAAAAGATCACATAATCCAGTAAAAAAAAAAAAAATGGAGTACAGACGTAAACAGAGATCTCTCAACAGAGGAATCTAAAATGGCTGAAAGACACTTAAGGAAATGTTCAACATCCTTAGTCATCAGAGAAATGCAAATCAAAACAACTCTGAAATTCCATCTTACACCTGTAAGAATGGCCAAGATCAAAAACACTGGTGACAACTTATGCTGGAGAGATTATGGGGAAAAGGGGACATTTCTGCATTGCTGGTGGGAGTGCAAGCTGGTTCAGCCCTTTTGGATGTCAATGTGGCACTTTCTCAGAAAATTAGGAAACAACCTTCCTCAAGACCCAGTAATACCACTTTTGGGTATATATCCAAAGGATGCTCAATCGTGCCACAGGACATGTGCTCAACTATGTTCATAGCAGCTTTGTTTGTCATAGCCAGAACCTGGAAACAACCTAAATGCCCCTCGAATGGATAAGGAAAATGTGGTACATTTACACAATGGAGTACTACACAGCAGAAAAAAAAATAACATCTTGAATTTTGCAGGAAAATGGATGGAGCTAGAAAGCATTATTTTGAGTGAGGTAACCAAAAAACTTATGTGTATGTGTGCATACGTGTGTATGCACGTGAGTGCAGGTGTCTCCGAGGACAAAGACAAAAGAAGGTGCTGGATCCCCAGGAACTGACATTACAGACAGTTGTGAGCCACCAAACATGGACGCTAGAGATCAAACTCTGATCCTCTAAGGGCAGTAGGTCTTTTAACCATTGAGTCATCTCTCCAGCCCTGGAAAGGCAATAAAAAATTCTCAAAGTCAGCCAGGCAGTGGTAGACGCCTTTAATCCCTGCAGTCAAGAGGCAGAGGCAGGCAGATCTTTGTGAGTTCAAGGCCAGCATGGTCTAAAAGAGCTAGTTCCAGGACAGGCTCCAAAGCTACAGAGAAACCCTGTCTCAAAAAACAAAAACAAAAACAAAACAAAAAAAAGTGAAAAAAATCACAAAGTCTGAGCTTGAGAAAGTGAATATAAAGAAAGGACTAGGAGCCCGAGAGATGCTCAGCACTAAGAGCACAGACCGCCTTGCAGAGGACCTGGATTCAGTTCCCAGCACCCACGTGGTAGCTAAGAACCATATGTAGCCCCAGTCTTGAGATCAGACACCTGTTTTCCACAGACACTGTATGCATGTGGTGCTTAGGCAGATATGCAGCAAACCACTCACATGCATACAAAATACAGATAAGCAGTGTTTTGTTTTGTTGAGACAGGATCTCTCTACATAGCCCTGGCTGTCCTGGAATTCGCTACTTTGACCAGGCTGACAATAAACTCAGAGATTCCCCCGCCCCCGCCCCCGCCCCCACCCGGGCCACTGCCTCTGCCTCCTAAGTACTGGGATTAAAAGTGGTGTGTGAACTGGCCTGGCCTGTGATAGTGTGTAGCAAGCTTTCTTGGGCCACCAGTCCCCAAATCATGACACAGAGATTTATTATTAATTAAGAATGCTTTGCCTTTGCTTTGAAGGGGTTAAACTCTCTTCAGTTTTTACAATTGATTGCACAGTTCTCTGAGAAGTATAAAACAGCTGTCTTTTCCAACCAAGGGTCATTATTTATCTACAAGGTCCCTTACATTCAGGAGAGAGAGAGAGAGAGAGAGAGAGAGAGAGAGAGAGAGAGAAAACAAACCCAGAGGGCCTAAGTCAGCCTCGGTATATCAATGACAAACCCAGCAGCCCCTTTCTGAGTCACAGCCAAGCTTGTACAGATGTATCCAAAAGTGATAAGACTAGACCTCAGTCAATTAAAAATATACTAATATAACTGTTGCTTGCTCAACTAATTATATAACTGACCCTGAAACTCCCCTTAGTTGTGCTTAAAAGGAGTCTGCACATCCTTCTTGGGGTCATTGCCATTTTGTACAGGTGAACGACCCCACACACATGCGGTATAATAAACACGCTTTGCTCTTCCATACTGTTTGAGTCTGGGGTCCCCCTTCAGGGTTTCCTCAGACCCTACAGCTTAGGCTTGTTTCTAGCTAAGTCTTTTTTTTTTAACTTAAACTAGCTCATTTCTATTAATCTATGTGCTGCCCCAAGGAGGCTCATTTACCTCATCTCCGTACTATCCGTCCTGCTTTCCTGCCTGGCTGCTTGGCTGGATCCCCTTGTCTCTCTGCCCACCAGCCCCACCTATTCCTCCTCAGCCTAACTGTTGACTGATCAGCTTTTTATTAGACCAATCAGATGCCTTAGGCAGGCAAGGTAAAACACCAGCACATCTTTTCATAGTTAAGCAAATGCAACAGAAACAAGGGCAACACATCTTTACATAATTAAACAAATTTAGCATAAACAAATGCAACACACATTTACATACTTAAACTAATATTCCACAACAGTGGGGTACTCCTTTAATCCCAGCAGGGAAGCAGAGGCAGGTAGATCTCTGGGCATTCAAGGCCTGCCTGGTCTTCAGAGTGAGTTCCAGGACAGTCACATCTACACAGAGAAACCTTGTCTTGAAAACCAACCAAACAAAACAACAATAAAATGAAAATAATAAATTTAATTAAATAAATAAGGATTCTGGGTTGCGGAGCAAGCACTGCGCTCGCTCCCAGCACAACTCTGGAGGCCTCTCCTTACCTAGGTGATGAGCTCACGAGGCCACGGTGCTAAAGTGGAGACAGCACACATAGCACTCAGCACACACATTCAGACAGGAGAGTCTTCTCTCAGAAACAGTATTCTTGCTGCACGGGGTGTGCATGCCCACAATCCCAGCGTGCCAGAGGCACCATTTCTGCACATTCAAGAGCTGCTTGGTCTAGAGGGAGTTCCAGGTACCATCCAGGGCTATGGATCTGAAAGACCCTATCTCAAAAAAACAGTATGCGAGTAAGTGTGTGCGTGCGTGTGTGTGTGCGTTTAAAAAAAAAACAACAACAAAGCGTATCTTAAAAAAGTTTAGGTATCCAGGCATCAATTCAAAAGGATCATTACTTTAACCAGAGAAAACTGGCACTACCCGTTATGTCCACATGATGGCGCTAAAGCAGCACTGCCGGAAGCTGTCTTGCTAGTCGGATGAGAAGTGGATGGTTGATATTGACATCCACCTACACATGGTCCATTGTTAGCTGTTTGGAGTTTGTGAAGACACAGACTAATTTTCATGTGCTTTTACAAATAGATTCATCTGCCAGGCAGTGGTGGCACATGCCTTTAATCCCAGCATTCGGGAGGCAGAGGCAGGATGATCTCTGTGAGTTCGAGGCCAGCTTGGCCTAAAGTAGTGAGTTCCTGGCCAGTCAAGACTGTTACACAGAGAAATCCTGTCTCTAAAAATCACATGCAGAAAGAATAATCACCACAATTTCATTATTTATTTATTTAGGTTTCTCAAGACAGGTTTTTCTGTGTAACCTTGACTGTCCTGGAACTCTGTAGACCAGGCTGACCTCAAACTCAGAGATCCACCTGCCTCTGCCTCTGCTTCTTGAGTGCTGGCTTAAAGGTGTGGATCACCACCACCCAGCCAACTCATCACAATTTGAAAATAAAAACATCAAGTAAACAAAATGACAGCAGCATCCCCTCAAGAGACTGTCTCATTTGCGGATCTCCACCAGGATATCTGCTGGGCAGAACCCCCAAACAGCTGACTTCTTAACTGGAAACTTAAAACCACATTGTGAAGAGTTGCTAAGGATTAAGAGATGGCTCGGTGGTTAAGAGAGCCCGCCGTCCTTGCAGAGGATCCGGGTTCAGTTCCCAGCACCATCAGGTACTCACAATGGCCTCTAACTCCAGCTCCAGAGGGATGCAATGCCTCTGACACCTGTGACAAGCCTGGTGGGTACCTCCACTTCACACACACACACACACACACACACACGAAAGCACTTGCCTGGCATGTGCAAGGCCTTGGGTTCAGGTCCCAGCACTGCAGAAGCTGTCAGAATGACAACAAGAGTGTCTGGAGACTTTTGTCCCAGGTGTCTAGGTGTTTGACTTACATGTGGACCCAGAGTTCACGGTGAGTCTTGCTGGAGGCTGAGTGCTCCCAGGAATGGGCTGTGTGCTGATTATCTGAGCCTGGAAGACTGCAAAATGGAATCTGGATCCTCAGTAACTACTGAGTTACAATGGGTTCCAGGAATCAGTTTTGTGTGTTTGGTTGTAGCTTACTTATGTGGTTTCAAAGTATGCCCAACAAGACACCATTAATTTCTAACTTTTTAAATTGTTTAATTTTAATTTCTAACTTTTTAAATTTTGTACGTGTATGAGTGTTTTGCGTATATATATTATGTGTATACCATATGTGTGCCTGGTGCCCAAGTAAATCAGAGGAGAGTACTAGATCCCCTGGATCTGGAGTTATGGATGGTTGGTTGTATGTCACCAAGTGGGTGCTGGGAATCAAACCCTGGTCCTCTGCAAGAGGAACAAGTGCTCTTAACCACGAAGCAATCAGTCCAGCCCCCATTAATTTCTTTCTCAACTCAAGGATGTCAAGTTTATAAGAGATCAAATGATTGATTGGGGGCCAAATGATGCAGACACTTGTTACCCAGTCTAGAGTCGACACAGAGCACTGCTAAATTCAGACCCCTGAAAGCCAAAACAAGATCTGTACTAATGTCTGGGATCTTCCACTGACATTGTGAATAAAGGTTTGGTTTTGTTATTTTAAGACAGTTTCTCTGTTCCTGGTTGGTTGTCCTGAAACTCGCTCTATAGACCAGGATGGCCTCAAACTCACAGAGATCTACCTGCCCAAGTGCAGAGATTAAAGACACCATCACTTTTCAGCATGATGAAGATTTCCAACTGAATTTTCATTGGGCATCTTCCTTCATCACTAACCAGCAAGGCATATAGAGTCCTCATCTCAGATCTGTGGCCAGTCACCTGCACAGCACACAGGTGTGTCATCCAGCTGTG